TACCCCCTTGGCCAAGAGCCATGTTAACTGACTTCATTTAATACCCTCCTGGAGATACTAAGGTCTCCTGCCTGCACTCTGTTCACATCCGCACACAGATAGTCCTTGACTTACAAACATAATTGAACCCAGAATTATTGTCGTAAATTGTGCCATTCATTATGTGGATCATCATATGATTGTGCCTGATTTGATGACATTTTTTGCAGTGTTGTTAAGTGAATGCCATGATTCTTAAGTGAATCCATTGTCTGCAATGGGCATTTTTTGTGGAAACTGGAAACAGCTACAAATGCAGGCTAGTTCCTAAGCATCTAAAATTTGATCATGTTACTCCAGAGGGTTGGCCGTCAGAACTTAGAATTTGGATCATAAATACATTTTAGGGGCTCTGTCATAACTTCAAACAAAAGCAAATGCCACAGTCATTAAGCCAAATGGGCTTGGGTTTTTTGCGAGAAACCAAATGTAAAAGCTGGAAAAGGACAAAAAAGTCGTAAATCATGGTTAGATGACTGTGGGATACTACAAACAACTGTAAAGGTGAGGTAGTTGCCAAGCGCCCAAAATATGATCATGTGACTGCAGGCGGTAGGGGTGTCATAATTCAAAAATGGGTCATAAGTAGCTTTTGTGTGGTCCTGTCATAACTTCGTTCATAAGCAGTCATAAGTTGCAGACTATCTGTGTTGACTGCCCAGCATTGAGTCATACTATATAAGACTTTAAATAAATATAGTCAGGCTAAATTAATGACACAGGGTTCACATTAAATTGTTGTCTGGATTTGCAGCATAAGGAAGCCCTTTCCCTTATATTTCCAATCTCCCTTTCTTCCATTTCTTCACTCACATTAAACTATTTGACCTCCAACATTGTATTCTTTGTCATATTTCATCACCCTGTGCTTATCTTAAATGAAAGGAGTCTTTGATCTCACAGTAACGTGGAGTGCCCTAGCCCAGGGGTAGGCAACCTTGGCTCTTTTATGACTCGTGGACTTCAACTCCCAGAATTCCTGAGCCAGCCATGCTGAGGGGAAAGAGTGAGGTTTCCAAGCTGAGCCATGCTGGCTCAGGAATTTTGGGAGTTGAAGTCCACGAGTCATAAAAGAGCCAAGGTTGCCTACCCCTGCCCTAGCCTAATCCTAATGTTAAAAAACAGTATTCCAAATCCCTGTTTTACCTGCCTTCTATTTATGGATGTGTTGATTTAGCAGGAGTCTTCGTTTTGGTTTATCGCATGTTGATACCTGGGATATAAAGTTGAAGTCTGCTTCTTGTCTCTCCATTTTTATGGATGTACCAAAGAAACAAATCTATATGATTGTCTTGGCATTGATAAATAAGCTTTGGGTTAATTTATTTTGTTCCTTGAATAAGCTTTAGTTGATTAACATGCATTTATGCAATTAGTGTAATTAGACCTAACTGTGTAATTAGTATAAGCGCATGTTAACAAGAACTAGAACATATAATTACAACATGATTTTTTATATATAAATAAACCTTACCAAATTATTCAAAGACAGATATGCTGCTGATTTCTTAAGGCATTTATTTATATTTTTACCACACCATGAAACAACAACAGCCAAAAAAAATAAATCATAACTATGCTGGTTTTTTAAAGGAAAAATTAAAAAGTAGATAAAATACCGTAGATTCTGCATAACTCCCAACTGGATAACAGAAAAGCAAATAATCGACCATATAATGGTTGAAAAAAGAAACAAATAAATGTTTACTTATTTAATTTGCATTGTCCCTTAGAGCTGCACTTAATATTCACAATAGTGGAGCGCATTGGATATTTCTGAATCCTATTTTTGTCTTACTAACATGGTTGTCATGGAGTTTTAATCTTTTCTACCTCTGCTTTTCCTCACTGATTCCCACTTTGGGGGAATTAGAGAAATTCTAAAAGTAGAATTAGAAGGGACATTTTGGACCATGGATTCCAACTCCCCACTTTGTGCATAAACTAAAACTAAAACTTTCCAGATCTTGGGTGAAGGGAAATTCCTATTAAACCATCTCCCTTTATTTAGTTCTGCTAGTGAAATGTATTGATCATTAGGAATCTCTGTTCCATTGGATTTTACTTTTATATCATTAAACTCTCTGGGGCAATAGAAAACTTCAGTGTGACATCTCTTTAATTATCTCCCCCTTAGGAATAAAGATTTCTAATTCCCTCTTTTCAACACTTAGTCTTGTTGCACCTTTGAGAGTGATATTTAGTACAAGAGAGAGCATTCAAGGTTGCACCTAACTAATGCAGAATATAGTGATTGGGAACTACGACAACTTCCTAAGTAATGCTGACAACAATTTTCTAAGTGCTAATGACTTTCCATTGTGTCTGATTGGAGCATTGCCTTTCTTGACCAAGTTGGAGCAGCTCAAGGGGGCACACAAGGGACTGAGCAAATTTGAGTTGCTGGGAAATGCCAAACAATATGGACAGCAAGGGAAGAAGATCTGAGACTTGCAGTGTCTGTGCAAAGTATTTTTCCTGCCTGAACTACACCTGCTCCAAGTACAAGCTTGGTTCCTTATTGAAAGGGAAAGCGAAAAGGTTTGGTAAACAAGTTTCTACACTGTGAGGCATCAGAGAAGAAGAGAGGTTCCTGGACTATACAGCTGAAACTTGCCATGAAATACTATGGAAGTCACAAATGAAGGCGAATACATGTGTCCCAGGATAATCCTGCAGGATCCAATCTGGGTCAGTCATTGGGACCAGAGGCTTTGTCTTCTGAGCTTTCAGACTCGTTCTTGGACCCATCTTCAGGGAACTTCTGTCTAGCAGAGTGTGTGGTATTTATATGGTGCCTGTTGTATGTGGCTTTTTAGATGCTGATTGGGGTGTGATGATGGCCGGCTTTTAAGTCGTTGGCTGTGGTTTGCTTGTTCTGCTCAGCCCTCGCCTTCTAAGTACTTGATAGGCTGGTGGTAAATCAGCACTCCTGTTGACTATGGAAGTCACTTGCCTTTCCATGGGTCAAAGAATCCCAGGATCCAGGCTGTGCTGGTGGATGATTAATCCACGCTAAAGAAATGAAGATCCAATGGCTTGAAAACCTGTAGTAGAAAAGTATCTGCGAAGCATGAGAATTCCTACCAAATCAGGATATTGTTGCCCTCTCTTGGAATTTCTTTCTAGACAAAAACCTTTGGGGTACCTAGTTGCTCATGTTGCCTTACAGCAGGGGCGTCAAACTCAATTTCATTGAGGGCCACATCAGCATTGTAGTTGCCCTTGGGGGGCCAGGTGGGTGTGGCCAGGGTGGGTGCGGCCTAATGGATGGGCGTGGAGGGAGTGGGTGTGGCCTACTGGGTGGGCGTGGCCAGCTCTACATCGTTCGCGTCAAGGGGGCCTGGGCAGGAGTGGGACAGATCTGAGGGTCTCTGGCAGAAGGGGGTGGGACCAGGGCAAGTGCCAAGGCATGGTCCACTGGAGGAGCCTCACTGTTCCTCTCAGGCCATGTGGGGGGGGCTGGATGGTGGTGCAGGCTGCCCGGAGCCCTGGGCAGCAGAAGTCAAATGCCCAGCCTGGCCCTCGAGCACCTGCGGCACCAAGCCCAGCCCCACTTCCCCAAGGGGGCGCCCAGCTGCACTTACCTACTCCTCAAGGCTGCTGCTGCTGTGCTTGCTCTCCTTAGCCAGATTGTTCATGATGGGTACCAGGGCAAAGTCAGAGGGAGACTGAATGCGTTTCAGCATAGATGGCCACCACAAAATTGTACATTGGCTCCTGGTTGGCCAGCCTGGGCCAGGGCCAAGGCAGCGGGGGCTGTTCCCTCACTATTTCCAGGATGGCTTCACGGGCCACATGAAACCACTTCGTGGGCCGCACCCGGCCCCTGGACCTTGCGTTTGACATGTCTGCCTTACAGTCTGCAAAGACACAATTACGGTAGCAACATGGAGAGTAGAATCGCCTGTCCTTGGTTGTTTCTTGACTCTTTTTCCAAGGCCTTGCATGCTCCATCTAGGAGGCTTTTTCCTCTGGCTTGAGTTAATGTGCTACTCATCAGGGTCACAACAAGGGAAGATATTACAATATTTCAATTACACGTGAAAAATTACATATTCAAAGAAATTGAATCTGTAACTCATGTTCCATTAGTATCTACTTTATACGCAGTGACAATTTCAACTCTTAATTTCAGTTATTAGAAATTCTACTCTCCCTCATTAGGAGGAGATCACTTTTTCTCTTTTAAGCAACCAATTTCTAGACGCATAAAAGGCAGCGGTGAAATTTGTATATGTAGGTTTCTTATAGAAATTGGTACCTTCTTTGCAGTTTTGATTTTCTTGGTTTTATGTCATGTTTATGTATGTACTGTTTTTTAATGGTTGTATATATTCCACAGTAATTGGTTTGATATTGGATCAAATCATAATAATAGTCATCGTCATCATCATAACCACCACCATCATCTAATAGTTACAATAAATTGAAGATTGTACAAGATATCAAAAATAATAACGCTTCTTTGGATAAATTAGAAATAAACAAAAAGTCAAAGAGGATATAGCTTTGCCATTTTTGTTTTCTAAGAATGACTGTGGGGAACCAGATATACTTTTGAGAACAAATTGGTGGAGTTGTCATATTTTTTTTAATATTTATTTTTCATAATATCGAAACAAAAAATTAAAGATGTGTCTGTGTGCATTAATAGCAGGAACTGTCACTCATAACCCAATACAGCAGGTCAGAGAGGCGCATAAAATACTGTATCAAACTGTTGTTACCTAGTAATTAAAAAAAAACCCAAACATCTACATTTATCTGAATAATTTTATTTTGTTTCATGTAAATTCCCAATGGATGCAGATAATATAGAATATTTGTGTCAACTCTTTGATCGACTAAAATAAGGCCATCAACTACTGCTATGCTATAATCATGGATTATGAAGTTTTTTATGGGAATAATCAAAAGATACAGAAATAACTTTTTAATTCACTTTATGTCTTCTCTAGAAAATTGCCTTTATGGTAGCGTTAGGCCTGGTTACGACTGAATACTTGGAAGGTAAGAATGCTTATCTTACTAGCAAAAATTCTTCTGTTTTAAAAAGCAATATGCTTCAATATAATAAAAAGATTATTTTGTAAAAGGAGATTGGAAACCTTAACCTGAAGTGTTTTAATTGTATTATTAGAATTAGATCTCAAGGGAAAGAACTTGAAAAATGCAGCACAGCTCGTTAGCAGTTCTTAAACATGAACCCTATTGAGTCATTATTAAGATGAGTAAACTGATTGTGCAAGTCATTATCACAAATAACTAACCTTTTATAATGAAATCAGATTTCTTTTGCATCTTTAGAAGTAGACTATGCAAACATGTTAAAAGTAATAACTGCTATGCATACTTAAAGAGCTTAGGATTAAAAATTCAAGATAGCTGTGTTGAAGTTCCCCCCTTTTTCTAAAATAAGGTTAGAAATGAGCTAAATGGATTGAGTTTTTCTATTCACACTCTTTCCCTTTTTCCCTCTGCAATGGACAGCTCCCTTGATATCAATCAGAATACAACCATGGCATACCATTGGAGAAATTGGCCCTAGGTCAGAGGTCACCAACCTTTCTTGATTGGTGGACCGGAGGGAAAGGGAGGGGGAAGCATTTTACACGCGTACACGGGGCCGCGAGCATGCGTATGATGCAAACAGTGCAGGACTAGTGCTTGCATGATATTAGCCCTACCCCGTTCTTATTCACAGTGACCTGTTTTTGCACCCCGAGGTGTGACGTTGGCCCATTTTGTGCTCCGAGATGCAGCGGTGTCCTGTTTTTGCACCCCGTGCAGCAGCGGCCCGTTTTTGCACTGTGCGGCGTGGCGTCCTGTTTTTGCACCCCGCAGCCACGGAGCTAGAGCAAGTGGGGGTGCGTACATGTGCACGCACTGGCCAGCCTGTCCCACGGCCCACTACTGGACCGCGGCCCACAGATTGGGGACCCTGCCCTAGGTTGTGAGCAAAATACTTTGCAAGGCTTCCAATATCAAATTAGCATGACCCAAATATTGTGGCCTTTGAAGCTTTTGTGTTTCTAGGAAAATAAATTTCACATTGCTGGGTCAGTCCCAAAAATGAGCTTCAGAAACCCAAAGGCCAAGATAATCAGGCTGATTCAGTCAACCAAATATGAGTAATAGAAGACTAATGTCTAATCAGAAGGTCAGCCAAGTAGCGAAAATCGTCTGATCAAATAAGTTTCATCTAAATATTTTAGTTTATGTATAGAAAAATAACCCTTTTGAAATTCATTGTAGAAATCCAGAGCAAACGTCAGGAAAGAAAAAGAAGAAGTACCGCCAATCCAGCTTACAGTGGACTCTTGGAAACTGAGGTAGCCCAACATTTAAACATTGTCACTTTTGGTTTTACTTCTGGCTCATGCAAGTTTAAAAATACTACAACTGAGGTAGCCCAATATTTA